TGTCCCTGGGATACAGGCAGGGAGCTATGATGAGCCCCACGTTGCAAATAAAAGCCTAGAACTTGAAACCTACGTTCTTTGGTTAAATTGGATGCTTTTTTTCCTCTAGTGCTTTCTGACCCACTCTTACTTCTCCGCTTTAGGACAGCCAGAGAAAGAGATTGGAAACACCACTTCCTCTCTAACTAGGCAGTGTCCTTTGCTGACACGGGGAACACAAGAAGCAGGGAGGGACCCGCTTTGGAGAGCTTCCTCTTGCCCCCGGCACACTCGTCCGAGTGGCCAACAAGTGTGCTTCACGCCACGCGAGGCTGGGAGGAAGTCGTGGAGTACAGCAAATTTTACTCCAACGTCAGCAGGTCTGCCTTGCTTGGTCTGTTGAAAATTCAGCCTTCATAAGCTGAAGTAAGTCCCTTTTAAATTAAAACCGAAACAAAACCAAAAACAAAACAAAACAACAGATGCCTTCTCATTGAGCAAGCATACTGGAATTTGGGCTTTCATTGGCAGAGGTGGCTCCTGCCTCTCCCTGTGATGGCTCTGATGATCGATTCATCCTTGTCAAGCAGCAGAAGGATGTTTTCTGGACTGCCCGAGGAGAACCACCCACCGGATCAGTACATGGCAGAAATTTAAGTCGGGGGTCCTTAACCTTTTACGTACTATGGACTGGTGAACTCTACGGACTTTTCCTCAGAATATTTTTAAATACATCACATAAAAGATACAAGGTCATAAAGGAGACCAACTGGGTTGAAATATCAAAATATTAAAAAAATGAATCTGCAGAGCAGTAGCATGTGCTTGTTGATTAATGCCATTAGCTAGTGGCGTCTAGTAGGGGTCTGATAACTGTCATAATTTCAGAATAGCCATGAGCAGACACAGTATATCAGCAAACACTGAATATTAAATAAAAATATTTCTGATTTTTTAGTGACAGTCAGAGAAACTGCCAGAGATTGGCTGTCCACTTTTGTAAGAGAATCAAAGGCTAAAATGTGACTAGAGTGGAAATAAAAAGGGTGGTTTGCTTTGGTTAGATCTTTTTCTTCCAAGCTCATACATCCTTCTGAATTCTATTCACAGGCACAGTTGAAAAACCTCTGATTTCACCTCAGACAGTTCAGGTTTATCCAGGGAACCAGATTACATCAGAAACAAGGAGCCCTGGGTTGTGATTAGAGCTGAGGGAACAGTCTTCAGGGACGACTTTGTCACTTGGTGTTTGAGCATTCCCACTGCGGGGAGGAGAATGAAGCCCGGACCTCCTCCCTGGAGAAGCTTCCTTCCATAGCTGTCCCCCTCGCCGCCCACCTCCCTCCACCCCCCACCTCGCCCAGGCCTGTGTCTTAGCAGGAAATACTACTTAACTGGCAGGAGCGGAACTGTGATGAGAGGTGGGGGTCCAGTGGCTTCTCCTCCCTTCGCCTTCAGAGTTCACCAGCCTTGTCCGATAGCCTTCACTCTCTGCTGCCTCGGCATCGCTCTTGCCGACGATCCTCTAGGGCCCTCCACCCCACCCTCGAGTGTTTATTTACACTTCACCAGTGGATTAATGATTATTTGGGTTGACTCTGTGACCTTTTACAATCAAATCTCTCCAGCCATCTCTTTCACTCTCTTATAAACATTTTTTGAGTAATCATGGGATGTTTACCTGATTCATACAGAAAACCTCTCTCTATCTGGCTTTTGACTGAGTGGATTATTGGCTCATGCACCTGAAACTAGCTTCAGGTGAGGCTTGATCTAGTGGTGAGACGCCTTCCATCTAGCTGTTCTCTACAATGTCTGCACCACTCAAATGCAAACTCCCCTTGCAGTTGAAAGAGGGCTGGCTCCAGCCACACTGGTCCTCCTGCTCAACCAGATTTCCCTCCAGTTGGGTCATTAAGGGCCCATGGCCAGCTCTGAACCGGTGCTACAGAGGGGAAATAGGTTGGCTGGGGGCAGTAGAGGCCCACTCCTTAAGCTGAGGGTGGATCCTGCATTACCCAAATTGCTACAGCATGGAAGAGGGCTTCTGAGATGTCAGCCAGCAAAGTCCAACAAAGCAAGTGTTTGTAGAAATGATGAGCCATGAAGTCAAATTCAGAAAGCTGTTGAGTGTTGAGGGCCTGCCATGTGCTAATGCTGTGCACCAAATACTCTCCTGTGTTCTGTCAGTCAGTGCTCACAACTGCTCTGTGGGATGGATCTGGTTACCCCCATTTTGCCAGCTCGAGACAGTGAGTGTCAGAGATCATCTAACTTGTCCGAGATAAGATAGCTGGGAAGTGGTAGCTGGGAGCTGGGATTCAGACCCTGGTCTGACTCTAAGGCCTGTGCCACCTTGACTCCATGATATTTGGGCACATTTGGGAGTGATGATGTAGGGTGCTTCTGGGCAGTCCACGGCAACACAGCTCAGTGTCAGTTTGGAAGAGGAGTTAGGAATCTGGAGTTCAAGAGCTAGTGTGACACCAGGGTGATGCCGGGCACGTCTGCACCCCAGATCCCTCATGAGTCAGTGCCTTTGGAGCAGGGGTCTGCCAAGATCTCTTCCAGCTTCAAAATTCTGTGAAGGTAAAGGCCATGCAGAAATAGGCAAATGGGTCAGAGTATGTTTACTTTGCCTTGTGGTTTGCCCAGTTTTTCATGTTTGCTTTATAGTTCTCTTGGATTAAAGTCAATTAACACAGATGTTTTTTCATTTCAGTGCTTTCTGTATTTGTATTGAAGTTGTCTGTATTTTTTAAAAAAGCCAGCCTGAATACGTTAGAGTTTAGCCTCTGGTGTTGCCAGAGCTTCTTAAAATGTACTTAACAAACTGCTTCGGCAAATGTTTTGCTAAAAATTCCTTTCAGCTGCATGTGTCTTGTGGCCTTTGGAGAAAGTAGAAACATGCAGATGGATTGGTGCAGGTCGTATTTGAGCTGCAGGCCAGGACCTCTAAAGGAAGTGTGCTATGAGCTGGTAAAATGTTAATTAGCTAAAACTGAGATTCTAGAATACCTTTCCACTGACTTCAGATACATAATATATGTGATCTTGGTGGGCTTGGAATGACTCCCAGAGTTATGACCCAGTAGACATTTTATAAAATGCCTTGAAGCCTTTGGAAAATAAATGTATTTATTACTTCTCAATCCTTCCTGGGACATGGCAGCCTAGTACCCGTAATCCAGATTGTCTACACATGGCGCCTAAACGGACACACGTTTTCTGGGCCATCCACTTATTTTACTGTCCATTCTTTGTTGCTGTTGTTTGTTTGTCTCTTACCTTAAAATAGCTCATCTTGAAGTCAAAGTGGAAGGGGCTATGAGAGGTAAACCACAGAACATTAAGATGTGAGGTTTGACATGGTCTTTTGCATCCTCCTGTGTTTCTAGCTGGAACTGTGTTCTTTGAGTCTTGTTTCCCTATGATAGATATTTATTGAACCTCTAATTTGGGCTGGATACCTGCTCCATGCTTTGCTGATAATCCTGGGAGATAGATGGAAAATGAGCAACTGGGGCTCAGAGCGACTTTTTGATAAAGTCTTTATTAATATTGTAATCTCAAATATTGTCAAGATATGACTGGGCCTTAAGTCAGGAGAAAAGGTTGTAGCAGACTCTAAAATTTTCTATTCAGAGAAGGTGATAGAACTGGGGGCCGAGGATCATACAGTCCAATCCTGGAGACCTCCCCAGGTCTCTGAGAGAATCATCAAGGCTGGGTTGTGGCGCCATCTTGGATGACATGGGCAGTGCCACCTCCTACGAGCATACCTGCTAAGGCCCGGCCTAGAAGCACAGACTCGCCTTATAACCAGGAGATGACCCACCCAGCCTCCCGCCCAGCCTCTAATTTGCAGGTATGCAAACCAGGTTCCGAGAGGTGAAGGAGTTTGCCAAACGTGCTAGAACAAGGTGGTAGAAGACCTGGGGTGAGACTGCACGCTGCTTTTGGCAAGAGGCCACGACACATGAAAATGTGTGTGTGTGGTGTCAGCACCGAGTTTCATGTGGTTGCCAGGGGAATTTGGGGAAACTAGTTTTTAAAGGCACACTTTCCCTAGCAGCATGCCGTTGTGACTTGGTGCCCCCACTATCTGTTTTGTGAGCCCAGACTTATTTGCTTAGAAGAAGAGCATTGCCCTATAATTTAAATTTCACCTCTTTCACTGCTTTGGTTTTAAGTCATTGTGGAAAAGAGTTGTTAGTTTGCTCCTTGCCTAGCCTTGAATTTCTACGCCCCAGAGAGACCAGGGTAGCAAACGACGGTATAGGGATTTCCTAGTCTAGGGACGTGTCCTCGGCGGTGGAGCTTCCAGCATTTAACAGGCGGACTCACTGCCACTGAGGGGTTTCAGCCTGGTCATCTTAACCTCACAGTTTGCAGTATGAGCCTGGTGGTGGTGGTTTCACCGTTTTCAGATGAAGAAATTGCCAGAGTGTTCAGGAATCGGCGTCCGTTTACACAGCGGGTAGTGAGGCTGCACCTTGGCTTGCCTGCATCCCAACCTGTGATTGTAACCGCTGTCCTGCGTTTAATTGCAGCTCTTTGAATGTCCACAGCTAAAATCTGACTTGGGGTGACTAGTTTTTATGTGGGTTAAAACTGCTTGGGATGGAAGGTGCTAGCCTGTCTGGGCTGACCTCTTCATGGGCAAGGCTAGGGTGGCAACACCTTTCCCTGCCGCTGCTGCTCCAGTCTGGCCAGTTCATGCTGTGCCCACCCGTCCCGGGCACATTCCTGGGGGTTGTTGGAACCCCTGCTTGTTGGAAAGAGCCCCCCGGTGGGAAAGCTGAGCTGGTGGCAGCAGCTGGCAGGGGCAGAGGAGGCCAGCAGTGTCCCTGCATTTCCCCGCCAGATGCCCCCTCACAGCAGGCTCCCCTGCTGTGCCCTCCAGTGTCATTTACAAGTTCACCTTGAGTTCCCCTAGGGGAATTTGTAGATGAGAAGGGATTTTTCCACTTGCTGGCCTAGTGAGTGCCTCTGTTCTGAAGTGGACTGTGTTCCTGCAGCCATCAGAGAGACCAAAGAAGCCCTGGTGATGGTGAACAGTGTCTTAATGGACATGAAACAGTCATCCGCACATCTGAGTGCCAACCTGAGTGACATTCAGAAGGACCTGGCGCAATCCCTCAAGGACCCCGCGTGCCGTGTGCCTTCAGCAGCCACCACTTGCGACCACATCAACAGCTCTCTAAGCTACCTGGATGTCAGCGTGGACTTCAGTCAGGTGAGGAGGGGCCCTGGCTCTGGGGCAGCGCCAGCTGGGGAAGGCTGATAAAGAGGGGCTCACCCGTCAGGTGCTTGGTGACCGGGGTCTGTGTCGCAGTAGAACAGTGGCAGCAGGAGAGACGGAATCGTGGGAGACCCTCCTTGGGAGTTCTCTGCGATTGATCTGATGAAACATCAGAATGAATTCAGCTTTTTTTTTTTTCAGATTCTTCTTTTTAAATTTAATTTAAATTTTACTTTGGTAGTTTCAACGTACATTTTATAAAATACAGGCTGTGTTCCCTGTGTTGTGCAGTATATCCCTGTAGCTTTTTTCATACATCATAGTTGGTGCCTCTTAATCCCCTCTCCCTGTATCGCCCCTCCCCCTCCGCCTCCCCACTGGGAACCACCAGTGTGTTCCTTATATCTGTGATACATTCAGCTTTAAAAAAGAAAAAGGGAGTCGAATGCATTTTTGTAGACCTTTAAAAATTAAAATATATTTAAAAATGTTGAGCCTAGTATATTAACTACATATGCCTAAATATTGGGTAATTTCCCATATTCCCAAAGAGATTAGAAAAAAAAAGAATTTGGAGCAACTTGAATATCTAAAGTTCTGGGATGTAGACAAAATAATCATATATCAACACCGTGATATGTACACACCACACTTTATACACAACAGTATTTTAACATAGCTACATTTTCCTCACCTTCACGTCCCGTGAATCGGTTTCATTCACACACATCACATTCAACATCTGTGTCTGCGTATCTACTACAGTCACTTTTCTTGTCATCGAACAGTTTTTCAGAGCCTAGGACCTATAGTTGCATTTAGGTTATTTGAAATCAAGTCCTTTTGGGGGTATCTTTTATTTTTGATGTGCTTTTAATACATGCAGAAAATTTGCAAGATTGGTATAAGGAACCCTTGTCGACACCTTTTATCCACGTTCACCAGATGTCAACATTTGGCTCCATGTGCTTAATTTATTTCTGTATCTGCCATCTGTCTCTTCATACCACCATATATGTGCAAATTTAGTATTGTGTACTATGCATTTTGCTCTTTTCTCAGTCATTTGGAGGTAAGTTGCAGACAGTATTCCCTTTTACCCTTAAATATTTCAGTGGATTTCCTAACTTTACATAACCATTTGGATGATCAAAATTAGCGCATATAACGTTGACCCAATACCACTAACGAATCCACAGTTTACATTCAAATTTTGCCGATTTTTCCAAAAAAATGCTCTTTTAAACTGCTTTTTCTTTTTCCAGTCTGAGATCCAGTCTAGAGTACACGGTCTTTAGCTGTAATGTCTCTTTAGTTCCTTTGATCTGGAACAGTCTCAGTCTTTTTTTGAAGACTGCGGGCCATTTATTTTAAAGCATGACCTTCAATTTTGCTTTGTCTGATGTTCCTCATGATTAGATTTGTTATGTGTATTTGTCAGGGTGTCACAGAAATGATACAGTGTCCTTCTCGGTACATTGTGTCAGAGGCCCGTGATCTCTGTCCCAGTACTGGAAAGAGATAGAACACGTACATCCATATGTAATGCTGTAAAATAAAATATTTATTCCAGGCCACTCACCAAGATAACCACTGACTATTACTTTTAAACATGCTTTTTCAAAGGTTATTTACAACTGTATTCAACACTGTTCAGTACCTGACATTGTGAGGTCACGCATACTCAATCTGTGTTAAATTTCTTTCCCTCATTTTTAGCTGACTGCAACAGGAGACCTTCAAACGTTGAAAAGTTAATGCTTGTAGAGCCCATTCTGAGCTAAATGTGTTTTCCCCAAATAATACTCTTAGATCATACCCTGAAATATAGAGACTTTGGGACTTGGGTGTAAGATGATTCCCATTTTTATGACAAATAATTTTGGGGGAAACCACCTTGCCTAATATTCTGTTTTATAAAATTTCAGCTCCCACCTTTGGATAAGCAAATTGCTAATATTACTGATGTTCTTCAAACAAATTTGTCCGGCTTGATCCAAGAGGTATGTTTTTTTGGGGAAAAAAAATACAGTAGCTCATTTTAGATTATTTTAAAGAGTAGAGCAGTACATAAGAAAACAGGTAACAGCAGAAAAGCAGTGATGCTCTGGAGGAGGGTGGCCAAGAACGGTGATCGGTGTTATCCTCCGGGTAATTCTATTCATTCCAAATCAGGAATTTTTTTTTATCGTGTATCTATTTTATGCCAAGCACAATGCTAGGACCATAAGAGACAAAAAGAAAAACATGATCTCACCTTCCTGGGGCTCAGAATTTGGTGGGCTTGGTGTTGGACCCCATGCTGATTCTGACACAGACGCTCTCCCACTCGGCCTGTGAGTCAGCCGCGTTTTGTTTCTTTCCACTTCTGCACGTGTGCACGTGCTGGGCGCTCTGCCCGTGCTCTCTTCCTTCTCCCTCCCCTTTGCCTCCCTTCTTGGGCTACTAAGGCCGAGCTCCTTTAAGTTTTATACATCACTTTCTTAGTGAGACTTTTCCTGGGCTTCTTGACCAGGTCAAACCCTTTTTAATGCATTCTTACAGCATTGCAAATATTTTTGTTAATTTCCTCATAATTGTGATTATTACTTTCATGTCTCGATTATCCCCCTGGACTGTAAACCCTAAAAAAGGCAGGGACCACATTGGTCGAGAATACCTTGATTTCCGCAATAGCCTAAAAAAAAGAGAATAGAATTTTACTCTTGGCTCTGTCATTTAGCATAGGCATAAAAAAGTTATCAAATGTCTCTTCAACACTCATCTTCATATACTAACAAAGTGAGTGTCCCCTGAAACAAGCCATTCAGAACTCTTAGCCTTTGCCTTCTGATGTCACCTCCTTTGTTAAACGAAGGAATGGAGCCGGGAGATGTGTGAGTCCCCTTCTATCCACGAAGCCTCTCATGATGGGTGAGCCCCACAAGTCCAAACACCGATAAAGACAGAGGGACCAGGTGTACTGAAGCCAGCACAAGCGCTGGTGCGCTCAGCGGCTTAGTCCCTGTGAGGAAACGAGTTGGGGACGCGCTTTTAATGACATCAGCGCTGCTGGGCTGAGGTGGAAGTGTTCTGGCACCATAAATCTCATAAAGGCTATAGCAGATTGCACTGCTATGAAAGAATATAGACTAGGTGGTTTATAAACAACAGAAGTTTCTCACACTTGCGGTGGCTGGACGTCAAGGTCAGCCTGCCAGCATGGTCGGTTCTGATGAGGACGCCTTCCAGGTTGCCGATGGCCATTGCGTCATTGTAACCCTGCGTGGTGAAGAGAGAGCTCTGAGGTCCGGCCCTTTGAAAAGGGCACCGACCGATGCCATTCGTGAGGGTGAGGGCTGCACTCTCACAACGTAACACCCTCCCAAAGGCCCCCTCTCCTGACAACATCACACTGGGGATTAAGATTTCAACACATGCTTTTGGGGGGAGACAGACGTTCAGTTCATGTAATTGCCATGGTGTCCCCTAGAGGATGCCTAAATACACCAGCAGGCAGGTAGGAGACACAAACTAAACCCCTTCCAGAGGAAAGGCTGGCTATTGAATTGAGTTGCTTGGAAATAGTGACATTTTCCTGTCGTGGATTTAGATGCAAAGTGAGAAAGCTTGGCGTGGCTGTTTTGGTTTTCATTTTAGCCTCCCTGCAATGTCTATCCTTTGTCAGCTGTGTTTTAGGACATGACTGTTTTCTATGAGACCTGATCTCCAATTTTACTGTGTAATTGCACTGGAGAAAAGATTCTATTTTCAGAAATTCACTTTATATCTGCACATGGTACATTGTGCAGATAGAGTCTTTTTAGCCTCAGCACAGCTGGGGCTGGATGATTGGTTGTTGCGGGGACTATCCTGTGCACTGCTGGGTTTTTATTAGCTCCTCTGGCTCATGTCCACACAAGGCCAACAGCACCCCCACAACTGTGGTAACCAGAATGTCTCCAGACGTTGCCAGATGCCTCCTTGGGGAGCCAAATGGCTCCCGATTGAGAAACACTAGTATAGATACATGTAAACTTGTAACATGAGTCAAACATTAAAAATGGGAACCTTTGAACTTGATCTTCAGCGGATACAATTTAAAGGAAGTCCTCTCTAAAGGGAAATGAACATATGATCGTTTCAGCCTTAGGGGGCATGTTCCATTTTAATTTTGTTCCTCTACTCCATACGAGGTTGAAAATGAATAATAGCGAACCGCTCACTCTGTATTTCACTTTATTTTGAACTGTTTTTTAGGGCTATAGATCTTTTAACGATATACCTGAGACAGTAGAAAGTAAAACCACGAACGTCATATCAGGTAAGAGTCCCAGCCGCGGTAATTTTGCGTCTCCCCTTGTTCGAAATTGGTCGCTAGTACAAACAAATGTACTGTTGAGAATTGTATCATTCTTTTTCCCTCTTAAAAAAATATTCTCTCCCTAAAACCTTAAACACTCAACGCATATTTCAGCTGTTACCTTCACACCGTGATGGAGATTTTCAAAAATAGTAATATTATTGAGCATCCATCACATCCGCCTGCGGGCTGGAAGCTGTCTGGTTGAGGGCCACGCCTTCGTCAGGCGCTGTCAGAGCCCACAACAGCCGAAGTCCGCAGTTTGGAAGGTCACATTCTGACTGTTTTCGCTGGAAATTTATTTTATTTTCTAAGAGAACTTAAAATTCATTTTTTTAAAGTTTGTTTTTAAATTTAAATTTTTTTTTAAATTTTTCAGGGGGCTAATTAGGGTTTATTTATTTATTCTAATGGTGGTACCAGAGATTGAACCCAGGACCTTGTGCATGCTAAGCATGCACTCTATCACTGAGCTATACCTTCCCTCTTGCAAAATTCATTTTTTTTAAAGGAATATTCCGTAGAGGGATTCATTTTGTCTTTTTATGAAGATGTTCCTCTGATGCTGATATAATACTATTTTAGACTCTTAAGGATGCTCGTAATTTTGGAGAGACAGAACTGATGCTGAGAGAATGCCACTGGTCTCAAATGACCACATCATGTCGAATTCAGGTTTTGGTATCTGGAGTGGATATGGAGAAAGAATGCAGTATACACAGTTCTTTGAGCAGGGGTGGGACTCCATCAAGGTTGTTTGCTAAGAAGGGAAATCTCTGAAGCTATGGAAGACGATCTTCTCTTTTTGTAAAACGTATCATCTTCTCAGTGCTTCCTTTTTATCTGTTGACCAAGGGGTTTTATTTCATTTTTTATTATTTTTTTAATTGAAGCATAGTCAGTTACAATGTGTCAGTTTCTGGTGTTCAGCACAATGTCCTGACCAAGGTGGTTTTAAAACACCGTCTAGAGGTATTTGATATTTTCTTTCCTAGTAGAGCTCTTTCAACCCATTAAGACTTTAGAAAGGGGGTTTTATCCTGAGACATAGTATTTTGGATGTTTTGTGGGTTCCCTTCTGTTCTAGATTCTGCTTTAAAATGTTAAGAGTCTCAAGACAGAGTCCACGCTTTCCTAAGCTAGCATCTGAGGGCTTGCACACCAACGCTGCACACCCAGTAGCCACCTGCTGACTAATCTCTGTGTTTACTTTTTTTGCTTCCCCTTTCTGGACCTCTCCTGCCAGTACTCATGGGCCTCCCTTGTAAGTCTGGCCAAGCGAGGCGTGCAGTTTGTGTGAGTGAGGCCCGGTGCACGCCATGTCATTGCCCAAACACAAGCCAGAGTTTTCCCAAGTCTGAGCGGGTGCCAGCCATTCCATCAGGCTGAGTATCATGCCCTTCCAAAACAAATAACCCTTCGCTCCCATGTCTTGAGCACCGGGTCCTACCCTGCATGCGTACTTTGAGTGCCTACTGTGTGCCAGGCGCCGCTAGGCTCTGGGGATGGCAGGTGAATGAGGCCTGACCCCTTCCTGCCCGTCAGCTGGGCGTGTTTACAGATGCTTGTTATCACCCTCCGGGAACAGGGCGAGGTGTGTGCAAGGAATCCAAGGTGGGTAGAGGGTCACGGAAGGCTTCCTGGAGGAAGCAACATCCAGATGGAGGCCTGAAGAAGATATTAGCTGAGAGAGGGCGCCAGCCATGTGCAGTCACCAAGGCTGTGGTGTGTGGGAGGCAGCACAGCCTGAAGAGCAGAAGGGGCCCGACTCTGAGTTGAGGCACCCGTGCGCAGGAGACGGGGGCGGTCTCCATGCTACATCTCCTGAACTCCCAGAGATCCCAGGGGTGACAGAGAGACCTGCAGGGTCACCTTGTCCAGGATCCTGGGGTCTTTTGGTGCACAAGCCATCTGGAAGAGACGCTGGGCTCTCCTCTTAGGTGCTCTCGAGATTGCATATTGATGTGAACCACCGGCTTTGGAAAACAGTTCTCCCCCACCCCCATGTTATGTAATTTCATTTTGGCTCATGCTACCACCGCCCCGAAGTTCACCAGGAGCCCTGGGACTGCATTGTGAGGACTGCCAGTCTTACTTCTGCTGCCGCAAAGAGGTTTATCTGCCTTTGAGGGTCGGTGGACTTTGCACTGATTAGCATGTTTTTGGTATGTCCATGTCAAGAATCACGGTGGATAAAGCCAACTTCAGATCTTAGGCGGCTGTTGGACCAGGTGACAGCCCTACCCACCCCCCCCCAGGGCTTTGACCCCAAGACTTGTCAGGATGGATGGACGCTTTCCAGGAAACTGGAACTTTATTTCCTCTCTGAAGGATTAAGATGACTATTAATAGAAACTGTTCAACCACTGGGAATCCTATTGATTCTTGCATATAAGAAAGAGATGTACTTTAATAAGTCTCAATTTGTATGAGTCAAATATAATTTTAACAAAAATGTCACCTGGGTCACTTCTTCCAAAAACTAGTCCTTGGGAATTACTTTGTTCTTGAGTGGCATTTCATAGATGGAGGAATTATTAAAATGTTAAATTATTTTCCCCAAGTCATTTAACAGAACCTTTAGTCAGAGAAACCCGAGTTTTCATCCCATTTCTAGTGCTTTCTGAAAAAGAGACAATGGGCGAATGATTTAAACCCCCAGGAGCCTCAACATCACTGTCAGGGAAATGGGAATAAAGAAACGAGTTAACATTTATTAAAGTGCCTGGCCCATGGTAGGCACAAAATACATTTTAAATCACCTGACCTTTTTTTTTTTTTTTTTTTTTAGTGAAATAAGTAGAAGAAAACTCTGGCTTGATTTCAGCACCATATCATTACAGTCAGCTCTCATGGCTTGCTGTTTTGTTAAGTAATTGCTTTCCTATGGGCTTGGCTACATTCCTGCTTGTCATAGACCCTTTTCATATTTTCGACACGTACATAATGTGGGAAAGGCCAGAAGTGGTTCGAGCTTTCCAGTTGAGTTCCAGGGCAAAAGTTCTGTGTCCTCTAGGTTGGAAAACGCATCACTGAGGTATCTTTGTTTTCAGATATCAAGAGGACCTTGAATTCCATTGGCTCAGAGATCACTAATATAAGCAAAAAGATTCCTGTTCAGGATAAGCTGTCAAATTTCATTCACTACATTAATAACACTGAAGATTACGTCCACCGCTATTTACCCACTTTGGAAGAATATGATTCGTACAGGTGAGTGAGTGCCTCCTGTGAGCTGGTAAACTAGCAGAGTGATACCTACCATGGGGCAGGGAGAAAATTTAACATTATAACCAAGACAATCTTATGAGAGCCAACTGTACAAAGAGGCCATAACCTGATGGGTTCGCCCTAGTTTATGTTCATTAAGTGGAAGTGTTCACTTCGGCAGCACAGATACTAAAGTTGAAACTATGCAAAGAAGACTCGGGGCATGGGTGTAGCTCAGCGGTAGAGCACATGCTCAGTATACATGAGGTTCTGGGTTCAATCTCCAGTACCTCCATTAACAAAAATTTCTTAAAAATAAAGACTAGCATGTTTGCTGTGAAAGGATGTCATGGGAATTCACGAAGCAGTCCATTTTTTAAAAATTGCAGATTTGAAGTTCTTGAGCCAAATAGTCGATAACATGCAATTTTGATGTTGTCAGTGGGCTCTGGAATCTTGGTTATAATTATCTAAGGCAGGTAAAAGGATTTTGAAGCTTAAAAGTGATTAAAAAGGGCATTTGGATAATATTTTTCTCTTTTTTGGTTTATAAAATAAATACATAGGTGTCGGTTCTCACAGAAAGAGCATCCTTGAAACCAGACCCGTGACTGAAGCTGCTGTCGTTCCCAGCTCTTCGCCCTTTAGGAGAACGCCAGGGTGGGGTTTGGCCCCAGGAGATGCTGGTGGACATCTCAGACAGGAGTGCGGGGGAGGGAGGGGCTTGGAGACTCGGTGTTCCCAGGATCGCGTGAGATGTGGGACGCACGCTTCCCTCTGAAAGGCTCAGCCCTATGACCGGCCACCGGAACTGTGCCTTCTGCCCCAACCCACGGAGATTCTGGAGGCTTCCTTTCCTGTTCAGGTTATTTATTAGGCAAGAATATGAGACAAATAATAAAATAATAGCAATACTTGCAAGCCTTTAGGGGACAGTCACAACATGCCTGTCACATGCTGTACACATGGCATCCCCTTTAATACAAAATCCCTTTGGTTGTGTTCTATTTATAACCCTGTTTCATAGGTGAGGACATTGAGGCTCAGGGAGGTGAGGCGACTTTCTTAGGGCTGGCGACAGCACGGCAAAAGGGGGTTTTCAGCCTCCACCTGACTCTGCTCTTAATTATTGCTCTGTAATCAACAAGCCATTTTCTGACCCTGCGGCTTGGCCCCCCCAGCAGGTGTCAGGACAAACATAAGACAGACCCTTTACAATCTCATTGGAAGTCACAGCTGGAAAAATGGTGCAGTGATCTGTCTATATATCAGCTCCCCATCTTTTCATCTCCCCCTGTCCTGAGACTATAGTCTCATTAAAAAAAAAAAATTAATGAAGCAGATGAGATATGCATTAACTGGAAAAGATTTCTGAAGCCAGGTCCAGGGCTTATTTCATTTTGTGTTCTCAGTATCTGGAACAAAAAGTCACAGAATTGGTACAGATGGCTATAATGGTAATTGACGAATTTGCGCTTAATTGAACGAAAAGCTGTAGTGGCTGCTTTTGTCCAAGAAGTAAATGCTTTGTTTTTTAGTGTTTTAAGGGTTGGGAAGCATTTCTACCCTTAAATGCTCCTCAGTTGCTGGGAAAGGTTGATGTACGTTCCAGGAATGCCAGTAAGACCTAATTGAGGCTCCATTATCCTAAAATGTCTCACTGGACCATTACAAAATTGAGACTTGCAGACATTTGATTTAGGATGCTCCTAAAATTCAAAAATATTCAATGCCCTCATCACGTAGAGTTGCTGGCTCAGTAAAGAACACAATTCACTCCCCGCCCCAAATATTCCTGCAGCCACAAAACATGTTAGAGAAAGACCAGTGGAAGGAGCCTCATGTTTCTTTCTCTCATCGTATCTGTTCACATCTCATCATCATCATAATAAACACTGCAGGAACCCTGAAGGAACTTAACCCTGCAAAGGAAAGACGGAATAATCCCGTGTCCGTTGAGAGCTCTTTGAAACCAAGATAAACATCATCTTGGTTGGGTCTGAGGGCTAGGGGTAGAGAGGGGTCTTTTCACAACACTCTCACCCTCTGAGGAATGAACAGAAGGATCTGAGACTTGATCGCCAGCTGTTCTGGCTCAAGTCCGAGAGCTCTTGGGCTGCGATGACGTCTCTCTTGTGTTTGCTGACACTGTGCTTGTTCCACCAGGTGGCTGGGTTGCTTGGTCGTCTGCTGTTTGCTGACCCTCATGGTGATTTTTTATTGCCTGGGCTTACTGTGTGGCACGCTGGGCTATGACCGGAAAGCTACCCCAACCAGACGAGGCTGTGTCTCGAACACCGGAGGCATCTTCCTCATGGTGTGAGTGCTGGCTCTTCCTTGCCGTGGGTGGGGTGGGGTTTGGTTTGAAACCCAAGGGGGAGAGCAGGTGAGTCTGGTGTTACAGGGACCCGGTGGCCTCTGGGCCAAGCAATCTGCGTTCCAGTGAAGTAGGTCACCTGGTGTGATGGTTCTTTCATTGGTTTGGGTAATTCCATTAAACATAAGTGGAAGGAAGACTCTCAACTGGTTGCACTTTGATAGACAAGCTTAAAAACAATCCTTCTATATGGTAGACTCCTCCTTAAAGCAGCTGTCATGGAAATTGTTTCCAAGTTTCTTTTCCTGATTCTTACTGGTTTTTTCCCAATATTCATCCATCTATCCATCCACCCCTCCCTCCCTCTCTTCATTCATTCATTCATTCCTTCACCAGATACTTGCAGATGATTGACTTGGTATCATACACCATTCTATATGATCAGCCAGCTTGTTCACTTTGAAACACTAGAAACTTGATTTAGAACAGAGGTGGCCAACCTGGCACCCTTGGAATTCAGACAAGTAGCCTAAATTAGTGATGAGATCAGATGCGAGGTACCAGGGAATGGTGAGCCTGCCGTGGACTGAAGCCACTGCCCCCATTTCAATCACATTCATGTCTAAGTTCGTATTTTTGAAAGGGGAAAAAAAAAACTTTACTAGAGTGTAACAAGGTATAGGGGACATGCGCGAGGTGGGACTGGAGATGGAGCCAGGAATGGAAGGCAGTAACCAGGGACAAAAGCTTTGAATGGTCCCCAGAGAGGAAGCTGTGTGAATTCCACCTCCATGTTCTCATCTCCAATGAGCTCGTGGAGAATCCATGGGGGTGGGCACGGGGGTGAGGAGGCCCCAGGGATGGGAAAGATTTGGAACAAGTCCTTCAGACAATAGAGAATCACAACCATGGCCCTTTATTATGTCACGTGACATGCATTGACTTGCTTTTTTAACCTTTGGGTCACTCTAATGTTCAGACTTCTTATGAGCAATGGTTCTAAGGCCTTTTCCTTAAACCTTTAAGCTCCACTACAGTGCAAGAGTTTATTAACATTAACACAGGCACACGAGTTTTAAAAATAACCTTCAAGCTAATGACGTGGGAGTCTGCCAGAATTGGACAGAATTGGACAGAGTTCCACACATGGAAAAGCCTGTTTGCTTACATGCCTAAACTTAAGAAATTAAACTAGCAAGGAAGAGTATATTTGCCTGGACTTTTTGTTTAAATGTACACGGCTACAGACAGAAAATTAATTTCATGTTCAGAATTTAATAATCCCGGCACTTGGCTATTTTGTCAGTGTTTTGATGGCAAATTTATTTATTACAACTTTTTAATTGTTTGAAGGGAGGAAGTAAATACTCCATCTTTTTTAAGGGATAAAACCAAAAGATGTGATATTTAGCTTCGAAGAATAAAGAAACAGGAGAGTCACGAGCGGATTGATGGCGGCTGAGAGCAGCTGTGGTTTGGACGTGATGCTCATGTGTGCAGGTTAAGGACTCTCTGAAGGGCTGAAGTCACGTGGACACCTATGACTTCGGGGCCACAGGATTTAGCTCAGCAGTAAGAAGAAGGCTGGTGACTATAAGTTGCCGTCAGATGCGTTCCAGGTGGTCTGCAGATCCGGAGGGTGGCCGTGGTCTCTGGACTGTAAAGCTCACCACTCCGCATGGCGTGCTCTGCTGTCCTTGGCAAAATTCTCCATCCCTTGCCACATCTGGCAAACAACTGGATAGACTCATCAGACTAACCAGAAGAATGCAGTTCCTTCTTTATAATGGTCTTCTTGCTTGTAGACACAAGAAAGAGTATATTTAGTTCAGCTTCAACCAAAACACCACCGACTCTTTAAAAATAGGGACACTGTTGAATCAAGAGCATGGACTTCATAAAAATCCTTGCCTCCCGAGAGGATGCTAGTGACAGATCTGGAAGGAGGGCAGGCAGAGAGTCCTGGCTCTGTCTGCCCCTCCAACTCCTGAAGGCCCAGGGAGCATCTTAGGGGCTGAGTGGATGATGGGGTGAACGTACATCTGCAGGGGACATGGACGGTTTTCCCAGAGATAAGGAGACCCAGTTAAGGCAGCCAGAAAACAAGTCTCTTGTACTGAAGCCCACTGTAAAACTTCCAGTTGTAGCTTGAAAACAATGCCTGGATTACCCAGACCTTTGAAGAAAAACTAATACCAGATGTTGCTGTGGGCGTTTTACATTCAGTGGAACTACTGGTGGCAGTTTCAACTGTTCTGTTAGAGCAGGCAGATGGATAGATGTGAGCAGAGAAAGGGAGACACAGGCCAAATGGCAGGAAACCATACATCTTGTGAGCAACCAGGGTCCTTGGGCAGACAGAAGAAAACAGCAGCCGCTGGACTGATAAGAAATCACACATTTTGGGGTGACAAGTGTTCTGGAGGCAGACAAAGAAAACTGGGGTAAAGCAAGAATCTCTGGTGTCCCAGTGTAACCTTTTGCTCACTATGCCCTCATTATAATACAATTAGCCTTGCAGGTTAAAAGTACCCATCACGCACTGACACCATGACACACTTCCGAGCCAGACTAAACAAGGACAAAAACCTCTCCTCCCCTTGGGAAAGTGGAGCTGGGATGGAGATCAGGGAACAACTCCAAACCCTTCCCTCCCCAGTGAATATTCTGCCCATTCATTTTTATGCCCCGTGTAACCAGCTTGACAAAGAAACTCAGCACAGCTACTCACCTGAGTCTGCCCACTCTCCCCATGAGAACATGCTATGTAGCCCTTAATAAATCCTCACTTTACTTTCTTGACCTCCGTGTCTCATCTCTGAATTCTTTCTGCAAGGAGACAAGAACTTAATCGCCAGCAACAGTTATAGATACTTGGAAAGCAATTTGTTAGGTTCTAGCAAGGGCCATAAAGAGACCATAATCCTCTAGGTCAAGTCCTTCCCATTTAGGGAATTTATTTTGAGGAAGTAGACCAAACTGTGGGAAGAGCATCCTGCGCAGGTGAGTGTTTTTGCCTTGTTAGTTGTAACAGCTAATTCCGGGTGACTGTCAGCTCCCGAGGAATGGGAAATCACGTAGCCACGGAAAGGATAAGTAGGTTAGCTCTCCTGGATGGCTGACGAAAGTGTCTTAAGATGTGCCACAAGGACCCACAAAATCATGCACGTGTCATTAGAACCATGTGATCGGGAGTGGGCAAACTTTTTCTATCAAGGTCCCGATAGTCAATATTTTAGGTTCTGCCGGCCACATGCAGTCTTTGCTGCATATTATCATTCTTGTTCTTATTTTTCCTTCTCCTTCTTGTTCTCCACCTCCTCCTCCTTTACGACACTTTAAACACACACCCACCATTCTTACCTCACTGACCTAACAAAGACAGGCCCTGGGCAGTTGTATGCATGTTCCTGACCTGGATACATGCATGTTTAGAAAACAAAAACTGGAAATGTTAGCAGCATGCTCTTTAGAGTAGTGGTGTTGCTTTGGAGTGTTCTATAGTAGGTTATTGATTATTTGTATAATTCTAACACACACACACACACACACACACACAACACTGATGTGCTCAGTTAGAACCTGGGGGTCTGTTATCACCCTCTGTCTACTGAAAAAGAATGTACAACCTTAAAGTTGAAAATTATGTTTTATTCAACGGACTTGAGGATTAAGCTGAGAAGACAGCCTCTCAGGTCGCTCTGAGGAGCTTCTCTGAAGAGGAAAGGGAGGAGCCCAGATATATAGGAGTTTTTGCAACAAAAGCTAGGTAGTCGAAACATCAAAATATTACTGTTAATTAAAGAAAACCAGACAACTCAAGTTAATGAATTTCGCTCCTTTCTATGTATGGGAAAATGCAAGAATCTGGGCTTACTGAAATCATTCCTTTGACGAACACCTTAATTAACTCTCTAGGGCCAGTGTCCTGCTGCTCTCCATCCTGAGTCCCCCAGGGCGCACAGACAGGCAGCAGCGGCTGATGGCTTGATGGCCCCGACACCCTTTGTTTACTGATATGGCAGGTGGTGTTTTTCATCCACATCTCACCTGAGGTCCCCTTCTTTACCTTCCCCCTAACTCAATAGTCCTGTCCGTCAGAGAAGGCCCAGACTGACCGAGGGCCCCTCCAGCAAACAGACCTTGCCGTTTATTTCAGACGAGCCACTTACATGTAATTCTGCTGTGAGTGTTTGCCCTGGGAAGAGTCGTGCTGAGAAGAACACTGTTATTATTAAAAACATCAGCCCTCACCCTCCTGAGGGTCCTTCCGATGTGCGCCAGTGATGGTGCAGGATTGGCTACTTCGCCTAGACTGATTTAAGGGTTTGCTCTGTCTTGTGTTTCTGCCTGGGCACCTGAGCATGGCTAGAGGAGTCACACAACAGGGCACATTAGGATCCCTACAAAATTATGATACCCCACCTCGAAGGGACCCTCCATAGCCCTGGAAATTCCTTCTTTCCTCTCTCTCTCCCTCCCTTCCTTTATTCCTTTCTTCTGGTCTTCCCACTCTGGTACATCCATCCTTCTTATTTCCTCTCTCTCAGCAGACAGCTTTACCGTTTTCTTCACAGAGAAAATAGAAGCCATCACAAGCTTCCCACCACCACCCCTCCGAACGTGACTGCGCTCACAGGCACGCGAAGCCAGAGGCGGAGGGGTCTCTCCCGTCTGGGCCCTCCTCCCGCCCTGGCCCGCTGTGTTCTCTGTCCTTCCCTGCTCACCGTCCGAGGATGGGTCACAGCCTCCCTTCTCTCTCCTGCATCCTCATTATCTTCTCTCCTGGATTTTCTTCTCAACACTTAAACATGTTCTGTTCTCTGCCTTTGAAAAGGAAAACAGAAAACCCCTACCAACACTGCTCCTTCCCTCCCGCTCCCCTCTCTGCACAGACGTCAGGAAGTGAAGGTCGGGTCTGCTGCCTGTTTCCGCATCTCCCTCTTCCTGCCCAGCTGGCTCCCCCGTGACTGCCCGCCTGTCACTTGCAGGGCAGCCGCGACCTCTGCGTCTCCAGGACGGCGGGCTGCTTTTGGTTCTTCTGGGGCGCGTCCTCAGGGCAGGGATTGGAACAACGGGCTGCTGCTTTTGCAAACACTCCTCAGCCCCCCTGTCAGTGATTTCACACCCTGATGCTTTCCTTCCTGCCTCTCTGACCCTCCACCTTGGCCTCGTTTGCAGACTACCCCTATTCTTCAGATGGTGAGGCTCCCCCGGTGCAGCCCGAGGCTGCTTCTCCCTCCAACCCCAGCCCCAGGGGTCAGTGATCGGGTCTAAACCGCTGATGCCCTAAAGGAGGCCTGTAACCCAGGCATCTGCTCCAGACACCTGGCGGCCGCCTCCATGGCATCTCCACTGAGGTGTCTCCCGGGCAACGTGACCAAAAGGCCACCCTCTCTCCCCTCCCTGTCCCTGCCGCTGACAAGCCCTGGCGCCCCCCTTGGCCCCTTCCCTTCCTTCACCCCCAGTGCACACGTCTTCACCACGTCCCACCACGCCGGCCTCCCGTGGCACACCGCTTTCACCGCCGACTTCTCTCCACCACCAGCACCTGGGTCCGGCCACCACCTGCGGCCAGAAACAGCCCCCTCGGTGGCACCTTGCTCCACGTGGGCACCTGTCCATCCATCCTTCACGCTCTGCCAATGGGGGGAGGGGTGTTCTTCCTGAGCGTTCCCTCCCTGGACCCTTTACAGACTCCGAGGAGTACGTTTCCCACACCACAGCCTCCTCACTCACCAGGAAGCCTCGGTTCTCTCACGTGACCCCAGAGCCCGTGCCTGACACCAGGGTGCTGGGCTGCAAGCAGGCCAGGGGCTGAGTCATCAGGGGCCCCTAAACACGTGCTTAGGACTGACGGGGACAGTGCTTACCCCTTCCTATCGGCGCTCGTGGGGAGGCTGACCCGCCTAACCCGCCGGAGGCTGAAGCATACAGTGACTGGGTAGAGTTAGTAAGGACTGGTAGGAAATGTTGAGTAATTCCTGGTAAAATTATTAACTTAATTTCTATTTTGTTTTTCCCCAGCGGGGTTGGATTCAGTTTCTTATTCTGTTGGCTACTGATGACCATCGTGGTTCTTACTTTTGTGGTTGGTGGAAATGTGGAAAAACTCGTCTGTGAATCTTACCAAAACAAAAAGTTATTCCAGGTACATATATGGTTTGGGGACCCATTATGGAAGGGGCTTGGGTCAAAACTTTTATTTCCCCATATCTTGTGAGTTTCTTCAAGAGCAAAACGATGAGCAGTTGGTTTGTATTCAATACAGTGAGATTCCTTCTATTTGTCAGAGCAGAAAAATACAGCAACGCGGCCGACCCTAGAACAACAGGCAGTTGAGGGGTTGGGGGCTGACCCTCCACGTATTCAAAATCGGCATACAGTTTATGCTGGTTTGAGGACCCTAAATTTTAAGTGAAAGAGACTGATAAGTGACACACCTTGTGACTGAGGGCTGTCCCTGGGGGAAATCTAATGAGGTAGTTAGAATTGAACTTGAACACTTTCTCCCTCTGAAACCAGCTGCTTCAGAGTCAGTGGCACCAGGTCCAAGTTCAGCTTCATTAACTAATGAAGTTTTGATTTACATGTCTGTCTTCTAACTTTAGCTTTCCAAGGTTTTTCTCTAGATTCAGGTTTTTTAAAAATCTGTTTTCTTGTTTTATTGGCTATATTGTGTTGAGCTCAAATCTGTTACTAGAATCAGGTGGATGGCTACTAAAATAAACCAGCTGTTGGGGTGGTATTTTAATTACTCAGCTGGCTGAGGAAAATTAAATCAGGAACATCAGTTTGTCAAGTCGTCTCCATTTGGCCTCTTGATTGAAAAATAATACATCAAACCAGACTTCACCATCTTTTGTGCTACGCTAAATCGTTGAAAAGGAATTCTCTAAAAGTAGGGGATATTTGGGAACTATTTACAGTCCTCAAGCATATGTACAGTCATGTACTAATTACCCCGTCTTAAATGTGCATCCTGTGAGGTCAGAGAATGTGCTCGATTTCTTTCATCTTTGTCTACAGGGAAGTAGTGAAGAGCTGGGTCAGCTGCTTCATGGATTCTATTAGCTATTCTCAGTCGAATGGTCTGTTTTGCTCCCATTTCTAATATGTTCATTTTACCAAAATAGAGTCCCCCCCCCCAAGGGTACTGTTTTTTTGTTTTTTGGGTTTTTTTGAGGGGGGGTGGTAGCTAGGTTCATTTATTTATTATTTCTTTTTTAATGGGGGGTACTGGGGATTGAGCCCAGGACATCATGCGTGCCAAGCACGTGCTCTACCGCGGGGCTCTACCCTCTCCCCAAAAGTAACCTAAGTGATTCCTACTGATGCCACCCAGAAGTCAGTCCATTCATTCCAATTACACTCCTGTTTTCTAGTTGTAAGTTGAAAATCAATGAGGAAAATCATGATACGAACATCCCCCCAACACTGTCTCTATCACAGAATATTCATTTTATTATCTGTATATATGTGAGTAGAAAACTGTCTTTCCAAAAAAAGTTTTAAAATTTGTTCTAGGTTTTGGACACACCATATTTACTGAATGAGAATTGGAAATACTACCTCTCTGGCATGATGTTTGACAAACCAGACGTTAATCTCACTTTTGAACAAGTTTACAGGTACAAGTAATTGCATGATGCATTTGTGTGTTGTTGTTGTTATGGAGAATGTTGTTTTTCTACGGTGAGAATTTTGCTTTTAAAGTGTCTTTAATTTTAATGATCAGACTTTGAAGTTCCAGAATTAAGCTGCTCTCTAGTCTTGGCTGTATGACCAAAAAGATAACCCTCCCCCTGAACGCCTTCTAGGCCTTAGAACGGTGATGCCCCGAGTCTCTTTGTCTTGATCCCTGGGGAAGGTGACCCCAAAATGCATTCATGGGACACTGTGAAAACTCTTATTTAAGAATCACCCTGCCCCACGTAAATGCCATATAACAAGAATTCATCGAATGGGTCTGTTGACGGAAGTAATCAATAAACAGTCTCCAGCAGGAATAGAAAAAATTTTATTTGAGCCAAACGAAGAACAATAGCCTGGGAGACAGCCTCTCAGGTTACTCTGAGGAACTGCTCTGGAGAAGCATGGTTTTCAACACAGTTTTGTATTTTGTCAGAACAAACATCAAACAAGTCAAGGATACACTCGTTAAATGTTTCCAAACAAGCATCTATTAAACCATCCCTAGGCAGAGAGGATGAGGCCAGGCTGGGCCTGGCCTGCCGGCTCTTTGTGATTCTGGCCCTTGTGGAACTTTCTGGTCTCACCTCCGATGGTTAGTATGTCAAACGCTCTGTTCCAACACCAACCCACCTGGGGCTCCCTGGAGAGGAGTGTCGTTCCTCCCAGGGGTGGGGGAGGGTTGCCTCTCCCAGGCACCCCTTGGGGCTAGAGGACTTTGGCTGCTGGACAAGGAGGAGGTGCCCCAGGCAGTGGCCGTCCTGGTGGCAAGGATACACATCAGATGAGGCCACCCTGCTTATCTCAGTCGAGGAGGCACTTGTCACATTATGAAGCACAGAGAGGTGAGGCCAAGTTAGTTTTGTGGCCAAAGTGGACTGACCCTTTGGAAGTTTATCACCCCGTCAAACTGGGTCTCCTTCCTGCCTTTAATCCAACCTTATGTTTGGTGAGTGAAGCCCACCCTAGAAATATGCAGGGGCTTGATAGGATCTTTTCATAAATCTTTTAATAAAGATAGTTTATTTTTATTTATTTATTTTTTAATTTTTGTGGGGGAGGTTTATTTATTTATTTTGAAGGAGGTACTGGGGATTGAACCCAGGACCTTGGGCGTGCTAGGCATGTGCTCGCACTGAGCTGTACCCTCCCTCCCCGCTTAATAAAGGTAGTTTATTTGAAACACACCTTTGTAACATGCTTCTTTCTGGCCTATGCTTTTTTTTTCTTTTAATTAGAGTTTATTTCTTCCCAAATTTGTAAACTCCGTTATCACTCACAGCACTGGAAGAGCTCAGAGGAGACAGACAGAAGGATGCAGTGTTTACTAGTCCTGTTGTATCTGTCCCCAACATGGGGCATTTAGTAAAATGGGGAGCGAAGGCAGGAATGGTGGGCACCATGGGGGTTCGTGTGGCCACTGGTGACAGCCCACTGTGTCCACCCCCAGACATCACGCCTGTGTACACAGGTTAAACAAGGATGAACAGTTAGCCTTTCTCTCCATCCTGAGCAGTGGACCAGGGTGGCCACAACTGCCTTTCTGGATCTTGATTTCTCTGTTTATTCCTTCAGTGATTGCACGGAAAACAAAGGCATTTATGCCACACTTAGGCTGGAGAACATCTACAATATCAGTAAACATCTCAACTTCCAAGAGGTGGGTAACCAGGGCTGATCAGGTTGCTGACCTATTTCTCTGCTACATTCAGTTGTCTTTTTTTTAAATCGGGGTGAAGTTCACGTAGGATAAAATTAATTATTTTAAAGTGACATTTAGTACATTTGCAAGGTTGTGCAACCTTCACGACTGTCTTAATTCCAAAACAATTTCATCACCCGCCCCCAACCAGTTGACTTTCTTTAGCATGCGTTTCTCTAGTAGATCATATGAGCTCCTCCCTGCGCACGCCTCATGGGGAAAGATTTTTGTCTTGCTGAGCGTTGATGTTCCTCGAGGAATAAACCCCGCTTGCTTCCCAGGGATGTTGACTCTCCAAGACCAGCCACCCTTTTCGGTCACGTCCCTGAAGAGAGAACGAGGCACCAAGAACTGTGGCCCTCACAGTCACCACTGCTGGCTGTGGCCCCAGGATGCCAGGGTGGGCGCTGGTGAGCTCTGCTGGCCTTTGGCAAGAGACACCATGAGGACAGAATGGAGCGACCTCTCCTCCTCCTTTGCCCAAGCTCACACCCAAGGCTTGAGTCTTAAGACTGCAAGGAGAGGCCAGACTAGAGCACACTGGCTGGAAAAAGGGGCAAGGGGGTTTCAGCTGCCCAGGCCTAAGGCACTATTAGCCTAGGCTGTCCCTACTCCCCCATGCCTGGGGGCCTTCTGGGAAAGAATCTAAGGAACCTTCTTTCTTCTGGGCTTCCACATGGAAGCAGATACCAAGGGAAATCAAGGGAAGAGGCTGCTCCCCAAACCTCACGGCTTACCCACTGAGGCATCACAGAAGGCTTCCAAGAGGTACCGTGAGGCCATGATGGCCTGACAGTTTTCAGATGTGAAGAGGCTTATTTGAAAGCTGCATACAGATTTTGTATTGGTTATCTTCCTTAAATATCCCTTGCACGTCTACATAGATAAAATACAATTTTGCAACCAAGCCCTCAACCGATGCCCTCTACTCATTGGCTCATTATGCTATGTGCCGTTTTCTTGGTGCACCATGACGATGTGTGACACCTCCCCGCCGCCCCATTTACCCACAGGCCCAAGCCATCAACCACGGTCCCGCGATCCCGAGTCTTCCTACCACGCAAGTCCAGTGCATGCTGCCTCCTTCCGCCCCTTTCAGCATCTCTATTTGTCAAGACTCACTCAGAAGCCACCCCCTCTGTTGGCCTCCCTAGCCCCCTGCCTTGAAAGCTCTGTCTCTGGTGTCCCAATGTGGTTCATGTGCCTCTATTACAACACTGCCTCTTCCCTTTGAGGTCTTTGAGGGTGGAGGTGCAATATTACTCTGTTCTGCTGCCCACCTCCTGGCCTCGCACAGTGCTTGGCCTGGGTATAAGGAAGAAGGCAGGGAGGTGGGGGAGGAGTGAGGGGGGGCGGTACCAGGAAGAAATGCCGGTCAAGTGTGCGTGTGTTTGTTTTTGGCCTGTGTGGATTTTATTGCTCTTTTAAAGCATTGGGTATGTGACGTTCTTGGAGAAGAGCGGACTCATTCCTAACTTTTCTTTTTATTCTGCAGCGTATGGGAAACATAAACAGTAATTTTGAAACTACAGACATCAGAATTGAGAACGTAGTTCTGCTGGATGAGGCAGGAAGAAAAAACCTTATGGATTTCAGCTCTTCGGGAGTAGACAGAATAGACTACAACGCCTTCATGAATGCGGTATGACGCACGAGTTCATGCTTGATTTTGGGGGGATAAGTAGGGCATCGCATATATATGGTTTTTCGTTTGTTTGTTCTTAGTCCTTTTTTTTTAAATTGAGATGAGATCCACATAACAAAATTAACTCTTTGACCAAGTGAGCAGTTCACTAGCGTTTAGTATAATCACAGTGTTGCAAAACTAACCGCCTTATCTGGTTCCAGACTGCCTTCATCACACCAGGAGAAAGCCCCAATCTCATTCAGTAGTTGCTCCCATCCCCCACTCCCAGCCCCTGGCAACCATCGCTCTGTCTTCTGTTTCTGTGAATTTACCTATTCTAGATATTTCATATGAATGGAATCATACAACATGTGACCTTTTGTATCTGAGGACCTTCACTGGTCCCTTCTGTGTAAGTTTTTTGAGATACGTGTCCATCATACCATGCATCAGCACTTTATTCCTCTTTGTGGTTGAGTAACAATAATATCAGTTTTATGTGTATAAATTAGAATGCAGATGTTGCCCATGTGAGAGTGTTTAGCCTTACTTTATGGTTATGGACCTGTGTTCACTCTGTTGCTTCTGACATGTTAAGGTTTAAAAATCCCACATCCGTAACATAGATTTTTGCACCTCTTTTGCAGACCAGTAAACATCCCACAAAAGTGAATCTTTTATCCTTTGCCGCTGATCTAGATATAAAAGCCAATCATTTGGTGAGTTCAAACAGTCTGGTTAAATGCTGTAATTGTTGTAGATGTCAAATGTCTGTACCATTCTTAGAGAAGCTGCGGAAGGGGTTCCTTAGACCACAAGTAACTCCTCTCCGTGCATGGTAAAATTTCCCACCAGCAGCCACTGCCGCCTGGCCCGAAGTCTGCGAGCGCGTGAATGTTTCCCGGGCGGCTTCAGGATGCACGCGGCTGTTCCCAGCCTCTGCTCCTGGTGCTGCTGCCCTCGCTACTTTAGCCTCGGGTCTGCTTTCACCCCGTCAGCCCCTCGCTGCCTGTGCACACATGTTTCTTGCAGTACAGGGAACAGTAACTGAGGACACGGGAGGGAGATCCCATTTGGTGCCATGTGTCGCCAGTAGTGAGTGGCTAAGAGAGGGCAAAGGCACCATCCAAGGCCCATAAGCCTCCTGGCCACCACCGCCTCTGCTGGAAGGTGACTAATGGCTGTAACTGGTCCCTCTGAGGAAGCAGCCGAGCACAATGATGTGGAACTTGGGCTCTGGAGGAAGACTAGTATTTAAATCCTGACACAGCCACTTCCTCACTTTGGGCAAGATAGTGCACCCCTGTGCCTTAGTTTCTTCATCTGTAAAATGGGGGCAATAGTAACACTTATTATACGTTATTATACCAAAAACTATGTGAGGGTGGGTTAAATAGAAGTTTTTAGTTGAACCTTGGTTTTCTCATCCTGTAAAGTGGCTCTCCAGCGGCCGTATTTGGGTGAGGTGAGAGAGAAAACGCAGCCTCTGGCACTCAGGGAGAGCTGAGTGTGGGCTGTCACTGAGAGTGTGTGGTTCCCCGATTTGAGGTAGGGAGTCCTGGTGCTGCCCCTCCTGGTGAGCCCCGCACCCACATCGGCATCCCATTAGAAGGGCAGCATCCTCGTGTCCTGTGATTAGAGACTGTGCTCCAGAGTCTGGAAAGATGGCGCTAATACTTATTTACTTTGCTCTCTTTGTAGCCCCAAGGAGATTTGAAACAGTCCCTGAAAAGAAATGCACAAACCTTGAGAACGATTCACCGCATCAGAATCATTCCTTTGGAAAAATCAATGGTAATAATCAACAAGCTCTGGCACCTCACCAAGACCCGGGCGAGCCCCCTTTCACCTAGGATGAGTGATATATTTGCATGTAATGCGTAGGTTGATTAACCTCAGGCTAAGAAATTGAGCTCTTTTGGGGAAAAAATGGTAGTAACTGGGCTTTGAAGAAGACACACATTCAATTCTCACTACTCCTTTTCTGCCTTTTTCCATTTGAGTGTGAGGTTAGCTTCAATCTGTGGCCGCCCCGTATGTTTTGCTGTAGTTTCCATGGCTTTAAACAGCCCCCACCCCGCCCCCCGCCCCAAGCCTTGCAGCAACTGAAGTGCTGCTATTTTGGTCTGGACTTATTCTTACCTGGTTTCTTGTTCTTAAACTCTTTTCCTCCTGACCCTGCTGGGAACTATGGGAAGGCAAGGCTGTGTCCTCTCTTTCTAACTA